AATAAACGCCTGAATTTACTGTCAAGACTTTATGGACATATGTTATATGGGTATTTTAAGAATAAATTCAATTTTTTTTGTTTTTATTTCATTTCAACTTTTATTTCTCTTATATTTTTTCATTGAAACATTTTCGATACGAACAAATTGGTTTGGTAGTTGACTTTTTGTTGTCTTTGTTGTTTTACACATAGAATTATTCTCCTTAAAAATTTTATCGAGAAATTACATCGAAAAATGATATGGAAAATTTAGTTAATATTATTTGTTTTGTTTAAATTCAATAGTATATTCGAGTTTTATTGTTGTCTATTGTCCATCAAATTCAACCGTGTGGTGAATCACTTATTAATTTTTTTCTTTATTATGAATCTTATAAAGACAAAACAACGACAAAAAAAATACCAATTGAAAATAATAAACAGAACTTTTTTTCCATTGACCCTCTACTGATCCATTGACTGTCTTTTGTTTAATTGAGCTAAAAATTGTAATAAAAGTTCATTTTGGGGTGGAGGTAATGAAAAACAAAATAATGGAAAATTGATTTTCCACACAGAGAGAAAAAAGGTTCAGTTTTGCCATGAAGGCGATTCCTAAAGATAAACTTGTTAATAAAAAAATCCGATTAGTATACCGAACAAGTAAGAAATCAGAATTGTCAAAATCAAAAAAAAATTCATGAAAAAAGAATTAAAATTCTTCAGATAACTTTCGGTTCAGATTTTAAAATAAGAATCGCCTTTGAAAACTGATTTTTTTTCTCTACGTCTTACATTTCGCATAGTCATGATTTTTTCAAAAAAAATTCTGAAATTGAAGATTTCCTTCCATATTCAAGAAAAACAAAAAAAAAAACTTAATTTCAATATCCCGTCTCTGGGCAGTAGTGTCTTTAAATAAAAAAACAAGAAACTGCAATAAATTAGCTGCATATTTTGTTGTTTTATCCAATTTACTTTTTACTAATCGCTACAATTTTTGTTTGTACAATTATTTTTCACGTTAATTTGTTAATTTTTGGTTATATTTTGTTTGAATCGCGCTTTCTTTGTGACTTCACAAATGGCTAAAAATGAACTTTGATTTTTGTCCAGTTTTTTGTTGTTGTCAAAATAAGAAAATAAAACAATAATATTTTTTAAAAAAATGAATTAAAATAGTAAAATACATCATAATTATCACAGATGTTTCGTTTGTTGTAGTCTCTTCGCACTTTTCGTTTTAACTAAATTTCTAACCAATACGAAATTGAACTGAAGAAATCAGTACGAAAAGAAAAGAAAATATCCAAAAAGTTACATAATTAGTGGTTTATGTTCGTGTGTTCATCGGAGTAATATATCAAAAAAACTACTACGAATAAATCATTGCTACGATTCACTAATTTTAAAATTTTGCTAAATATTTCTTCTTTTTTTTTCATTTCGTTCACATGGACCGTTTGTCGAATTGAATAAAATTAATGCACTTTTTATCTGATGCTCATTATTCCATAAATCCGTCTTAATTCTAACATATTTATTTTCTGTATGGCAAATCCGAAAAAAAAATGTCTGTTTTGATTTAACATATCGAGAAAAATGTTCGATAAATATACTTTTATGCATTGATTTGTCTGTATGTGTGAGCATCTAAAATGCACTATATAGCTATAGATGGATTTGTTTTTGGGTGGTGGTGGTGGTATATACGTAGTATACTGTTTTAAAACTCGTCGTTTGCACTAACAGAGAAATAATAATAATTTATCGGTTAATTATTTAGTTTTGCTTTCTAATACTATTGAAACGATTGGTGAAAATGTGTTCTTTTCGTTCACCATCGAACTAGAACGTGTGTTTAGCGTTCCAACTATTATTTATAATAATAAATACGAAGCACACGCATATACACACACATACGCACAAGAAAATGTGTGCATTCAAACACAATTCTACACAATAATAATAGTTTAAAAATGTTTTGTTGTCACATAAATTCTTTCGAGAATTTTTGTAAGGATGAGCAAGACTAGACATTCACAATTGATACACGAAATTGATTTACTTGAACGTTGTCATCAGTTCATTCAATTTATTGGTTTGAATGGTTGGTTTTGGTTTCGGAACCGGATGGATGACTGGTTTGTTGTTTGGCACCGAATTCACATTCACATTGCTCGTGAATGGGCTATTTATGCTGGACGATGCAATTGAATCATTGTAATGTGAACGATTCAAATCGAATTCGTGCGATGAATTGAGTGGAAGAGCCGGTATGGAATGGCAACTGCTTGACAGTGATGTGGAGATTTTTGTTTTCGTCGACGAATGTTGACCGTCATCAAAATCACCACATTCAGCTGTTGTTGTATTTCCAGCGCTCGTATCGTGTTGACTGCTGTTTCCATCGACACCATCGTCCATTTGAACAACGAAACTATCGTTGTCGGAACACTTAACTGATTTTGGATATCGATTTTCGAAATAAGTCGTACCAAGCAATGCTTCGTGATCATTATTCGGATCATCTTCTTCTGTGTCAGTTCCATTACGATGGGGTTGCAACGGCGTATTGCTCATTGAACAATCGTCTTTGTAGCGCCGAAAAATATCATCACTTACACCCAAACTGCTGTGACCACAACTGCTGCCACTATTGCTTCTCAATACACCGTGACAACGTGATATGGTGGCGGTTCGCATGGCTTGAACGGGTTTTTCGTCGCCTTTTGGAAGCATCGATACCGATTTCAAAATGCTCTTTTTGGTTAAGTGATTTTCGATTTCATTGCCATTGTTGCGATCGATTGTGTCGTCTGGACCACAACCATTGTCCTTTTTCGTCTGATAGATGACCACAATCCATATAATCGATGTACCAATAGCACAACAAACCACAGTTATTATTATGATAGCCGTGATTTCGTCGTGAGTGTAACCGCCTGCGTCATTGGCCGGCTCAGTTCGAACTTTCAATTGAATTAACGACTTTTCGATACCCAAAGTGTTGGAGAATTCGCATGTATACAGTCCAGCATCGTGTTCGATTGTTTTATCGATGATGAGCAATTGATTCTCTTTGGTAAGCAAATATCGGCTTTCTGATGCCGAAATTGGCTTGCTATTCTTGAACCAACGAATATCGGACAACGTTTGTACACTGTTCGAACATTCCAATATTGTGTACTCGCCAACAACAACATCCTTGTGCTCCATGGGTTTTATGTAGATTAATGGTTCGACTGTTGGAATAAAAACAGGAATTATATATAGTTGATGCATTAAAATCGGAGGTACGGTGAAAAACTTACTTATTTGAACGGTGACATGTGCCGTGATAAGTCCGGCTGAGTTTTCTGCGGTGCATGTATATGTTCCTTGATCAATTGATTTTGCATTATCGATGATAAATGAATCGTCATTTTCCGAAATACGCATACGACGTTCACGTGCCGCCGGAAAATCATTTCCAAAGTTAAATTGCCAATACACCTGAGGTTTTGGATCACCGTCAACCGCACAATCCAAACGAACTGTTTCCGATGTTCTAACGGTTACATTTGTGGGCCGTTTGGTGAAAATCGGAAATGCTGCAAGATAAAATTGTGAAATTTTTAGCAAAATTGTGACATGTCGTGGATAAAAAAAATATTTCCGAAATTTTCGCCAAAAAAGTGACTTCCAAAAAAAAAAACGATTTTATCCTCATTTCAAAAAACGATTTTCCCTCCGGAATTTTGCCATCAACCCCCCCCCCCCCCCCTAAAATTTTTTACGTCATCATCTATGTTCTTGATTGGGAAAAATTTCCGATTTTTTTTTTCGAAAATACTTAAATTGATTTGACTTTGAATGCGGAAAAATGTTTCGAAATATCGTACGGCCTAACTAAATGTATACACTTACATGCAACGGTCACTTTGAATTTCTGTGAATAAGCTTTTCCGTATTCATTCGATGCGATGCATTGATACCGTCCCGCTGTCTTCGGATCAACGTTCGTTAGGTTCAACCGTGAAGTGGCCACCGTGCTGTTAATTGGAATGGCCGCTTCAATGTCTTCAACCGTTGCATAAACTTCATCAATACTGTCTCTGTCTCCATCAAAATCTGATTCTGCATCGAATTCATTTTCTTCAAATTCACTTCCGGTGTCTTCATCGTCGCCCTCATACTCATCGTCGTTGTTCCATTTTTTTGACACCGATGAACTGGTGAGCGGCACTTTTGGTGCGCTCACATTAATCCGATTTGGCGTTCGATTCGGTTCACTGCGTCGTTCAACGAATCGTTCTCTCACCCGTACTCGATTCTCATCCTTGCGCCGTGTTTTTGTTTCAACCAGTGCCGGATCAATATCAATATTGTCGTGCTTCCATGTAAATACTATGTTTGTACCAACCGTTACGAATGCGGTACATTCAATTGTAAGGTTTTTTCCTTTGATTGCCAAAATCGGATTTTTTGGTTCGTCGACCATTTGCGGTTTTGGTATATCATCTATATATCATTCAATTGAAAAAAGGAGAAAAAAAATCAAATTGAAATCTAAGCAAAAAAAAAAAACCTTCATCAACACTTACGGCATGTCAAATTGTCTTTGTGTAATTGAAGAAATCTTTTATTTCGCAACGAAAATGGGAATGCACATCGTAGATCAATGCTATTCTTTCGTTCGCCAGACTGTTTCTTTCCGCCGAACGATTGAGTATTTTTTGCCCAAAAATAAAACCATAACGCATGACAATCACATATCAATTCGGTGCTATTGATGTCCAAATGCTGAAGTGATGGCGTTGATCGCTGATCAAATGCACCATCTTGTATGGTTGTGATGTTATTGTTGCTTAAATCAAGCTGCGTCAAATTGCTGAGGCCAAGAAAGGCATTTTTATTGATCGCTTTTATATTGTTATTATTTAAATTGAATGTGTCCAATTTGGTGAGCGATGCAAATGGCCCGAAGGAATCTTCAATTGTTGCTGAAATAAAATTGTGACTTAAATCGAGCGATACCAAGTTATACGTTGCATTCATCGCTCCAATGGTCGCAATTCGATTTGCGCGCAAATCGAGAATCTTTAATTTGCTTAATTTATCAAAACTTCCGGCATTTATTTCGCTCAATTGATTTTCCGATAAATCCAAATGTGTGATGCGCTGCGTAAATTCCCAGCAATCCTTTCCAATCGATTGAATCGAATTATTCGATAGATTCAATTTCGATAGTGCTGTTATGTTGAGTAATCCGCCTTTTTCGATTTTCGTTAAATGATTGTTTGCCAAATCCCTAAATTCGCAAACGAAATAAATAACAAAATCAGTTACATTGTTGCATATATGCTTTTGTTTACTTGACTAAATGAAACGCTTAAATTTATTTGAAATCGATAAATAACAAATAAACTCGAATACGAAGAAAAGCGTATTTTGCGAAAAGAACAAAAATTGCTCGCAAGTAAAGAAACGATAATAACAACAAAATAAAAACGGTTTAAATTAAATAAACTTACAACAAACTTAAATTGTCGAGACCATGAAAAACTCCGGTAATCAATTCATCAATATAATTATTACGTAGTTTTAAACTTGTTAAAGCGGTCAAATTGCTGAACGTTCCATACTGAAGATTATTTGCTCGCAACTCGTTTGCATTCAACGAGCTATATGTGTTATTTACAATTCAATCGACACCCAAACGGAAAACCAAACAAAAAAAAAGAAAGAGAAGAAAAAAAAACAAATGCGAAAAATATAAATAAAACAAATCAAAACAAAACCGTTGACATGAACGTAATAACAGCTCAAACAAATGTGCGACACACGCGTGTGTACGTTTACAGTGAAAATGAAGAGAGCAAAAAAAAAGTGTCGCCGTTTGTCAGCCGCAAATGAAAGAGACCGAGAAGTGAGTACTTACAGTTTTTTGAGCTCCTTAAGCTTGGCGAACAGACCGACTGGCAGTTCACTGATACGATTTTTGTTTACTTTCAACTCGTTTAGTTGAACTAATGGCTCCAATGCACGTCGATCAAGCGTCGTAATTTGATTGTTATTCAGAAATCTGTCAACAAACAAATCGATTTGGATTAAAATTTACAACGAAGCACATTTTGCAGTATGATTTATTTATGCATAGAAAAATGCCGCTCTGCTTAAATAGAATCTGCTTGTACAAATAAACACAACGAAAACAAATCCGACGAAGAAAATAATGTACTTACAATTTCTGGATGCGATTTTCCTTTGGGAATGAATTCAATCCAATGGCATGAATCATATTACGACTCAAGTCTAAATGCTTTAATGCCGGTAATGCTTGCAATGCTGCCATTGTAATTTCACGGATTTCATTGTTCGCCAAATCGAGTTTTTCCAACGAAATTAAACCGCGCAAAATTGGTATACGTTCCAATTCGTTTCCTTTCAGTGTTAAATTGACAAGATTTGGCAAATTGCGAATGCTCTGCTCACATCTCGCTGCATTGAAATTATTTTGTCGAATCTCCCTGTTGCAACACACAAAATATTAAAAGAAACACATTATTGAATATATACAAGTAATAGTTGAGAAGAAGGAAAAAAAAGAACGCGCGATCATTGCATAAGATACGTGATATTCTTATTTGAAAGGAAAAAAAAGAAAAGAAAGAAAAAGGTTCGAACCGATTGAAAAAGGCCAAACGAGAGAAAAAGAGAGAAAGACGAAAAAAAGGCAAAAGGAAACAAGAGAATAAAGAATAAACGTGGAAACAAAAAGAGATAAAAAGAACGAGCTGTGAAGCAATTAAATGAAAGAAGAAAAAAAAAGAGCAACAACAACGTACAGTGATTGCATGAATTGTGGCACTTTAGGTAAATGCTTCAAATGTGGCCGTGTGCAGGTCATGAAATCGTCTAAGCAAGAGCATTCTTTCGGACACATTTCAGTTGTGAGCGTTGCTGGTGCCGTTGCGTCTACGTTTGGTGTTACAGGCTGTGACAATGCAGCAATTTCAGTGTCGGTTAGCTCTTTTGGTCGTTGTATAATTTGCGTTCGTGCGCTTTGTGCTTGTTCTACGATTTCGGGCGATTGTTGTACATCGTTTTCATTGTTGTTTTCGCCTTTTTCATTATTCACCGCTGATTCGCCATCATCATATTCGTCATCGTCGTAATCGTCATCGCCCGTTGAATGTTCTTCGTTTCGTTCATAATCGCTATCATCACGAAGTGGTATGCCTTGTTTTGGCATTCGAATATTTCGATCGTTTGCCGATGCAACCGTTGCCGATGATGCTTTTCGATCATTTCGATGACCGTTTTTGTCACACAAACCCAATGGAAGACAAATGCATAATAAAATAATTGCCAGAATATGCCAACGAAATTGCTTTCTCATTTTCGAATATTGTATTTTTCTTTCTTCTTGCTCTTCGTGCTGTGGTGTTTTTTTCTTCTGCTGCTGTTCTCCTGTGAATCACACGTCTCTCCGCGTATCGTTTCGTCGAAAATGAGTGAAAGAAGGAGACAACGGTGTAAAAGTATTGTCGGAATTTTCGTTGATTTCTTATTTCACACTTCGAGTAACAGCTTCCATGGCTTCCCGCATCGCGATCCCTAATATGTAATTATATAATTAAAATGAACACTTCTCCTCAATTATACACACACACTTTTAAAACGTCTTTTGTGGTAAAGAATTTAATTTTCTCTATCTCGCGTGTGCTTGTTCGTCTCTTCGTTTTTTTTATTCTTATATTCGTTTTTTGTTTTTGTTTCACTCAACCGAATTGCAAACTGCATTAAATGTAATATATTCTTTCAAATTACGCTTTGATCGTTTCGCACTCACTGATATTTCCACAACGAAATTTTTCTTCAAGCGAAAAAGAAAATTTATTTATGTTTTCTGCAATTGTTCGTTTTTTTTTCACTCTGAACGATGCACTCTTATTATACGGATAAATAATTTTTTGTTCTGCAAAAATAAAATCGCGCACAGTGTGTTGCAGTTTTATGTGTTAATCGATGGCCGTTTGAACATTGAATGAGTGATTCGTTTTGAAATGTACGGCAATGGCTGAATCCGAGGTGTGTATTGTATTTTTTTATGTGTGTGAGCGTTGTTGTCGTTCAATTATTCTACCACAATATTTCACTGTCGGCTATTTTGTTTATCTCAAAATCGAAATACATTTGAAAATATGGCACAATAAAACACGATATCCATTCAACGTTCGCTTCAATGCATGGTTGTAATGGGTACACACACCGATGCACTCGTTGTGTTAATTTCCAACTTCGTCAACTGAAAGAGAGAAAAAAAAACCGAAACGAAATGATTAAAAAAAATAATATAAATTGGTATACGTGTAAAAAAGGAGACGAAATTTATTTAAATTTATTTTTGAAGATGATTCTTTCTTTTTTTTCTTCTCTTCATTCTTTTCTTCGGAGTCGAATGAATAAAATTACGAGAAAAAGATCAAAATCCTAATAAAAATGAAGTGTTCTATTCATGCTTCGAATTCAATAGTCTCTTTCAATAGTCACTTCTCATTTTGAGTTTCTCCTTTGAATTGGTATTCTTCTTTTATTAAAACGGAATAATAATAACAAAACCTCGGAACGAATTCTCTTGTGAATGTGTTCGTGTTATGGTCGTGTGTTGGAGTGCAGCAGCATCAAGATGCAGAGAAGCAATAACAAATGAACATTTTCTGTGTTAAATCGCTTTGTGTGAAAAAATAAATGTATTTTTTTTGTCCTTTCCGTAAGAAGAAGAAGAAGAAAAAAAATACGAGAAGAGAATAAAGGAACACATAAATCTATTTCAATGAAGAAAAGAAAATACTAAACGAAAAACGATCGAATCGGATACCTGCTTATCGAGAAGAAAAAAAGCACATTCAAGGCAAATGAAATGAGAAAAAAAGAGAAGACGAAGAAAATGTTGGAAATAAAAAAAAAATCGAGAAATATTCACACCACACAACTGAAACGCATAAACAACGGACAGAATCAATGCTTGAGTCGCAAGAGCAAAGGCGATCATTTATTTAATTCGAGTTATACCTATATAGATATATACAATGTTTTTTTTCTTCTGTCTTTCATTGAATAAATCACATGAAATACGATTGTAGAAAATACACACGAATGATGTGAAGGCGTAAAATGGTCTTTTTTTGTTGTTCGTTAGCCAGATCGTCTCATATACACGTTTGTGGAGAATACAGCATAGCGTAGAGCAGAATATATGGAAACGATCACATCAGCAACAGCAGCAGCAGCAGCAGCAAAGAAGTGAAATAGAAGAAGAGAAACCCACAGATTTTATATGGTGATTTTGTTTGCTGTTCCATTGCTGCGGATGGAATCCCGCATGAAATGCTCACAAAAAAGATGGGCAAAAGTACCAAATTGAAGGCAACAGAACCAAAAAGAGTCAATTGAAACCGAATCGATGGTGTGCATTATTCAAGTCAAAAAAAGAGTGTTTAATGGAAACATGTGTGCTTGTTATGCTTTCTGCATCATTCCCTTTGCGACCATTCCTTTGCCATTCCATCTTTGCATCGGAAATCGAGCACCAAGTGTGAAAATAATAAACGATCCGATATATTGTGTATACATATGTATGCTTTGTACCAAAATCTTGATATAACCGTCGTACCTACACACAAAATGCCGATGAATGTGTTTTTTTTCTCTTCGTTTTCTTTGCTTCATCTCGGCAAACAACAGCAAAAAAAAAGAAGGAAAAAAACAACAAAACAAAATGTTCAGCTTTGCTGACTATATACGACCAAACCGATCGACTGTTGGTTTCATTTCAAGTATAGAAGATTCGAGTAGGATCAACACGTACAGATACAAATGCGAGGCAGAGATTCACAACCAACGTGAGCTTGAGCGTGCGCGCTACCTCGTTTCCATTGGATATATTTGAGAAGAGCGAACCGACCAAAATGAAATACATAAATATAAAAATCACACGAAATAAGATCGGACGACAACAGCAACGACGAGAGAAAGAGAATAAAGGAAGAAGCGAAGAAAAACAACAACAAAAAACGTCGCTTGCATGTCTACTTGATTTTCAAAGCTGTTGTGAATTGTTCAAAGTGTGAAACACATACAATTACGCTGCATTCTGTACTTAAATGAGAGACGAAAAAAGCCGTTCATTGCTTACGAAATGAAAGAAGTTAAAGAGAATAAAGAAAAAAGACACATAGCACAGCACAGAAACAACCATTTGGCTGTTTGGTGGATAGGATTTATGGAATTCTTATATGCACTTTGTTTGGCTGTACAGCAAGTCTGTGGGCTTTTTTGTATGCACATTATGTTGCGCGCTCCGTACTTTTTTCCGCTCCTTTATTCTGTATAATAATATTTGGTTGTTGTTTTTTTTTTCTTCATTCAGTTTGTTGTGCATCTGATAAATTCAACACACTTGAGTTTCGAAGAAAACGATAGCCAATCAGAGAAAAAACGCTGCAAATGTGTTTTTCTTTTCTTTTTTATCATTCGGAGGAGCAAGAACAACAAGAACCTCTTTTTTCCACAATATTTACAAACAACTACACTTTTTTTCAACACGTTTCCAATTATTTGCTGATCACACTATTGTGCAATGCCCTTTTTTAACGTGCAAACAAATGCCATGTTTATCGCGCGCTTAAAGGAAACGTGTCGTATTCTCGGTTTGAGACATTATCAAAGTGAATACAGAACGGAAAAATAATAAAAGTAATGACACAGCTTATACATAAATTCTCTATCTTTCTCTCTTCATGCACTTCAAACAAATCATAAAACTCATAAACTTCAACACTTTTGTCGTTAGCGATAAACAAATATCATCCACGTATTATATTTTTATTTTTATAATTTTTCATTTTGCCGTTGAATGTCAACAAAAATGCAATGATATTTTCAATTTCTATATGATAACGAATTGAATAGAATGAATATAGGCAAAAAAATCAATAAATAAGAACAGATAAACACACAGAGACACACACACACACTTCCTAGTAGTAAAAACCTATGAATTAATATGCGTTCATAAGAGACATTTGGACTTTTAATGAAACAACTTGTAACCATAATTATATTTTTATCTGAATGAAAAGAAGAAAAAATAATGTGTTCTTATGTTCCGTCTACGCAGAAAATTACAAATGAGACCACTTTTTACGACTTAGAACTTAAAATAAACTGTCCACATAAAACACATATCACGAGTTTCGAAATAGATTCTTGTTGTTGTTTTTCGCACATTATGGTGAATATATGTATTATATTTTGAATCTTACATTTTGAATTTTATTGATTTTTCACTACGGACCAACCAAATCAATCCATCACATTTTTGACATTTATTTCACTGCCACTTAATCAACATAAACATTCAAATGGATACTTTTGATTACACAAAAAATGCCAAATTTATACGATTATTTGCAAAATAAAAACAATTGCACGATTTATACAATTTATATGTATATATATCTTATTTTCTTCTCTCTTTCACGTATCTTTCGATACCACACGACAGCTATACTGGTACGACGAGAAATACTGACTTGACTGAAATAGTAAAGCACCGAATAGTTTTGTTTTTCTTACTCTCTCAGTTGAACTCTCTGCTCGTGTGCCTTGAATACGCTACATAACAACCACATACGAATACATACACATAAATGTTTACGTGAATATCTCACTCTCTCTCGCTCTCGCTCTTTCAGCACTGTGCAGTGCACAAAGTGTCAATCAAGTTCTGCGATGGTGTGGGTGCGTTCAATGAAACAAATTGTGACGCGATAAAAGCGCCATCTCTTAATAAGAAGATTTTACTTCTACGAAATCAATAAATTCAATTTGAAGTTGAAATGCACTTCTATCGATGTAGTTAGAACATATCGTGAATTGTCAACTGAAAACCGTACATAATAAAACACCAAGTCAAATGGATACTGGTAATGCATTTTCAATTGTTACTTGAGAAAATTGTATTTTTTATAGAAATTGTTCATTTTTTTTTGAGGCAGGAAAAATGGACAGACGCACATATCTTCTCAGAATCAATCAAACGAAGGAAGAGTTCACAAAAATCTAAAAGACAGCAAAGATAAAAAAAACTCTTCGTCGAATTTTATTTTATAAAATGTTTATTTCAACATTGATAAAGTAAAACAAAATTGATTTATTGTAAAGGAAATAAAAGTTGATAAAAGTGTTTAATCAAAACCAAATGCGAAATTTTAATAGCTTCTGCCGAAAAGAGTATAGGCTGATGGTTTGAGTGTGCAATTCGGATTGATGCATTTTGTGTTCGCTTCGATTGATTTTGGTTGATCAAACGGTATGCACAATGATTTTGCACCCATTGCCAATGCACCAACTTCGGTATCGGCTTCATTATTGGCGCTATTGTCTTTGATGTGTTTTTCGCAGGTTTCATCTCCACAGAATGGGGTCAAAAGTAAACTCTTCTTTGACAATCCACCAACAAAATCACTCCAGTTGTGAACAATATCGATATGTTCGTCGAATTCCTTCTTTGCCTTGTTAAACATGTCACTGTGGATTTGTTTAAGCAAAGCTGGAATTTTCGTTGACACTTCGCTCAATTGAATCGTTAGTTTTTCTCCAGTATCACGTCGAACTGCAACCAATTGTTTTGCCTTCATATCTTTCGGGCCGAGTTCAATGCGAATTGGTACACCTTTTAATTCCCAGTGATTGAATTTCCAGCCGGGTGAGTAATTATCGCGATAATCTCCGTCAACACGAACTTGAGCTGCTTTCAAAGTCGCTTGCAGTGATTTGCAGTTGGCCAACAGCTCTTCTTTCTCCTCTGGTTTGGTATTGACTGTCAAACCGCATGGCACAATGATGGCTTGAATCGAAGCCACATTTGGCGGCAAAACAAGACCTATGAATCAAGAATAAATAAGCAATTCGCTTGTGATCAATATGAATGGTATTTTAATGTTACCTTTATTGTCGCCGTGAATCATAATCATAACACCAATCGTACGTGTTGTTAGACCCCATGAGTTCTGGTATACATATTTCTTCTCTTTTGTTTCTGGATCTGTGTAGATGATTTCAAACATTTTCGAGAAGTTCTGACCCAAATGATGACTTGTGCCGCCTTGAATGGCTCTTCCACTTGCTGAAATGTAGGCTTCAACAGTTGTCGTATAGTCTCCACCGGCAAACTTTTCTTTTGTAGTTTTTCTTCCCTTCATTGTGGGCACAGCCAATAGTTCTGAGTAAATACGCGAATAAAGATCTGAAAAAAAACAACGAAATTTAGAAATTCGCATTCAATTTGAATTTGTATTTTGATTTTTTACCCAAAATGGTAAGAACTTCAGCATCAGCGTCTTCTTTCTTTTCATAGGCAGTGTGTCCCTCTTGCCATAAAAATTCTCGTGTTCGCAAGAATGGCTGCGGATGCTTGAATTCCCACCGCACAACGTTGCTCCATTGATTGATTTTGATTGGAAGATCCCGATAGGATTGAATCCATTTGGCAAAGGTAGGATACATAACCGTTTCGGATGTAGGACGTATCGCAACTGGTTCAGCCAAATCCGAATCACCCGATTTTGTGACCCATGCAACTTCCGGACTAAAGTCAGCGATATGTGCTTTTTCTTTTTCTAACGCCGCTTTCGATACAAACATTGGGAAATACACTTCTTTTACGCCCAATTTGTCGATCTCATCGGTAAACCAGCGTTGAATGACTTTCCAAATTGCAAATGACCAATCGCGCAAAATATAACAACCACTCACGTCATAATATTCGATGAGTTCAGCTTTGGTTAATACCTGCGAATACCTAAGGGGAGAATCACAAAAGAAAAGAATACAATTAATTTAAAATAGTCGGCAAATAATCAATAAGAAATAATTAATAATAGAAAGGCAATTTTTAAGTGAATTGCTCCTTATGAATACCATTCGGGTAAATTTTCTTCTTTCGTTGCCTCCAAGCCTAAACGCGTTACTTTTTTCACTCCACCATCGGCTGGTTTCTCTTTTTCGGCCGGTTTTGGTTTGGCCTCTTTTGCTGGTTTTGGAGCCTTTGAGCGTGGTGTTTTACCAGCATCACCTTCTGGTTTCCAATCTTGACCCGTCAACGCCTTATACTTGCCCTTTAAATCCAATAGTGTTTTAACTTCAGCATCGATTTTCGCTTTGTCGGCCTTTTGTTCTTTCAACACGCGCACAGTATTGCCTTGTTCAGCTATTTGAGCATTCAATTGTGTAGCATCATTTGATGGTGGTTGTTCCATTGTGGTCGGTGGAGTTGACGTTGCTTTCTGTAACGTAAAAAATGTGTAGATTTAGCATTTTCAAACACCATTTATTCTAAAACTATTTGAAAAACAATTATCAAAAAATATTGAATCGAAAATTTGCATAGAAAATCAATTGAACATTATGAAGTATGCATTTTTTGCAAAGACAATGCATTTTTACAGTAAAGAAATTATGTTCAAAACAAATCTATTCACAAACATTACAAAAATTAAATTCTCGAAAAAAAATGCTTTGAAGAAATTCAACACTAACCAAAATATGTGTTATCTATCAAACATCAAATTCACTAATGTGCCACGCATACGCACATGAATTAAAGCATTGATTAATGCAACTTTCATATTGAAATCAGACGCGATTTACTTTTACCCGTCAATCTATTTGTCTCTTTCTCACATCGAATACCAACTGTCAAATGAATACAGAACATCACCACTACAACTACAACAGACACGTGGAATGATGACTGCACAAGTGTTATTTGTTTATGTGTGTTACGAATAAAGTATGACGGTTCGAATGGAGTGAAAGTGAAGAAAAAATAATTAAAAACTTACAGCGTTTGCAGCGGCATCAGGTTTCCAATCGTTTCCTGTCAATGTCTTGTATTCTGTTTTCAATGCCAATAGTGTTTTCACCTCAGCGTCAATTTTTGATTTGTCAGCTTTTTGTGCTTTCAAATCACGTACAGCATTGCCTTGGGCAGCGATTTTTCCATTCAATTGGCTAGCATTATTTTGAGTAGACGGTGGTGGAGCACTGGTTACTGGTGCTGTTGCGCCTGGTTTGTATTCTTGACCAGTTTGAGCTTTGTATCCCGCTTTCAAAGCAAGCAACGTTTTTACTTCAGCATCAATTTTCGATTTATCGGCTTTCTTTGTTTTCAAATCTCTCACCAAATCACCTTGGCTCACAATTTTTTGAACAATATCACCAGCTTGTGCTTGTGTAGCTACAGCAATTGGCTTGACTTCTGGGGCAATTGCTCCTGGCAACCAATCAGCTCCAGTTTGCGCTTTGAATTCGGCTTTAAGTGCCAACAAAGTTTTTACCGCAGCATCGACTTCGGCTTTGTTTGCCTTTTTGGACTTGAGATCACGAACGAGATTTCCCTGTTTTGTAATTTGGTCGTTCAAGTCGCCCGAAGCTGGTGATGGTTCGGTTTTCACTGGGGCAGCATTTGGTGTCCAATCTTTGCCCGTTTGGGTTTTATAATCGGCTTTTAGTGCCAACAACGTCTTTACAGCTGCGTCGATTTGTGATTTGTCAGCCTTTTTGGATTTGAGGTCACGAACGAGATTTCCCTGTTTTGTAATTTGGTCGTTCAAATCACCCGAAACTGACGATGATTCTGTTTTCACTGGGGCTGCATTTGTCACTGGGGCAGCGTTCGGTGTCCAATCTTTGCCCGTTT